GTTCGACCCCATATAAAGCCCGAAGCCAGTGGTCGGACGTTGCCAAGACACAGAAGCTCCACACCGCAAGGCCCCGAATGAAATCTTAAGCCCTGCCCCCTTTAGCCATCCTAAACTCCAAGCCCTGAATGACTTCGGCATAGGAGGTGGTTGAGTTCAACGAAGAGAACAGCACCCGCATTCCCAAGCTCCTGCCTCTCGGCTTCACATCGGGAGGGGGCTTGTGCTTTCAGGGTCGGGGGGCACTTGTCATAAGAACCTCACTATAGCCTGGGTGTCCTGTCTAGCGAATATCGGGGAGGGGGGGGGGGGGGGGGGNNGGGGGGTTGCACACCTTTTCTTTTGACACTCCCAGATTTTGCCTTGCCAATCGCAAGTTCAGAAGTCACGTCCCGACGAAGCTGGCACCGGACCTCGGGCCGCCAACCTGTCTCTCTCTATTCGCATACCTGCCTGAACAGTAAGAATCAACTGAAGCCGCAAAGCCCTAAAACGTAGGTTTGGGCGGGTTTCGCTTAGCTGATATACCAGCCCAGGCAACCCTGTAAGACCCGTAAAGACACACTTACAGATTACAAGAACTCTACAAAGATCACCAACACCTCAGAATCCACAAGATTTCTGTAAGACCCTTGACAAAACCCACAAAAGAACACTGCAAGCTTCTTGACAAACTCCCCGCGAGATTCTCTACAAAACCAAAAAACAGCCCTCGGCTTTCTCAAAGACCTTAAGCAACACTTACAGTAGCCCGTTTTGGGGGCTTCAGGTTGGACCGAGCTTCGGAGGCTCTCGGAACCGTCGGTGGTCGGCATAGGTGTTAGGGGGTGTAGGCCTTTTTTGGCATCTGGGCTTGCACTTTTTGTGTAGGGTTTGGGAGGGTCGTATTTTTTGTCAAATGCTATGAGATTTTTCGAGTGCTGCAGCATGGGTTTAAGAGGCATTTTGAGATTTGTTTGGGTTTGGAGAAAGAGGTTTCGGCTGCATTTTGTGTGGATTTCTGTTGTTTACCAGTTTCGCAGCTTCGGGCAATTCAGGGTTTAGAAGACCCATCGAAGCTCTTGAGCTTTAATGCCAGGCCATAGAAGGCTCACTAGTCATTGAACTTGAGAAACCTATCCCTTGAAAGCTTTCAGTGTTTAAATTGTTTGACGATAAACAAACACTACACTCTAAGCCAAGCACCGTCCTCTGAAACTGATTTCCCCATGCATAATGTGGCAGCCGAGTAGTTACAACTATCTCATGCTCAAGCCCTCCAAAACTCGCAAAGACTTGTAAAGAACCCTTTAAAGAACCACCTCGGTACTAGGTCCTAGCAGCCCCGAGCGATTTCGAAGGCGCGGGGTGTCGCCTCTGCTGGTCCCACGGTGATGGAGGTCACAGAGATGAAGCAGCTACTGAGCTTCAAAGGTTACGGGGCCAGCGTTCAGGGCTTTGGGTTGAGGGAGTTTAGGGATTTAGGCCAACATGAAATCATTCCGGATGCTTGGCCTGAGCGCACGAGTCGCTTACTCACTAAGTGATTGTGGTCAAGTGTTCGTCCTGGCGGAGTCGCAGCAGGTCAGTTGCAAAAAACGGCCAACAGTTTCCTTCTTGGAACTCCAGGGGTACCCGGCAGTGACATATAGGCTTGGATGCAACAGTGTTTCGGGCTGCATGTTTTGGGGGTCCGTGGCTTGTTGGGATTTGAGTGGTCGTGTTCATGCTCAGCCGTCACTGTTTCATCAACTCCAGGTTGGAGCACGAAATCCAGACGCCAACCCCCTTCAAGGCCTCGTAGTTCTCCGACACCCCTAAACACTGAAACGGTAAATCACATCCTTTGAAAAGCACATCAAGCCGCACCATCATAAGAAGCATCGGTGTTTTCGACAAATCTTTCGAAGCCGCAAACCCTGGAAACAAGGATGTGGCAGAACGTGTCGGGGGGCTTCAAAACTGCTTGGACGACCTTCTGGCGCGCCGAGACGGTTGATGCGGAGGCCTGATGGCTGTGTCATTCATTTTAGGGGGTACAGGGTTTTGGATTTTACAGTCCACGGCGACTCGGAGGTTAGATCATATATGATATAAGACTTGGGCTCAGACTCCGTCTCAGAGGCTCTCACAGGGCTTCATGTGGTGTTTCCAGGAACTCTGGCGTTTCGGCGATAAAGCGTTTGGGGCTCTTAGTTTACCGAGGACATAGGATTTCCAGCAACTCCAGGGCATCTCCCCTGTCTTGCTCTCACAACATTTCACTGCCGAGAAACTCCGGAAGCCAGTGAATACTCTCAGCCGCCCTCCCGCCGGCCGTGCATCACACGCAGACATCGCCACACATACAGAAGAAGAGCGCCTTCAAGGTAAGTTAGGGCCTACCAAGCACCTATATAGGAGTTTGGATGGATTGGTTCTTTGGTTAACCGGTGATTGGCCGGTGATTTTTGACAGCCCTTGTCGGAGCCGCGCCCTTGCAGCCATACACAAAGGACGGCATAGCCTCGCAGCCGTTGTCCGCAAGCCAAGTCCGAGGCAGGACACCGAGTCTTTGGGCTTTGGAGTCCAAGCCTTGTAAAGTTCACCTTCAATTGAACGTTTACAGCCGCCGGTACAGTCGGCAGAAGCACAGTTTCAGGCCAGAGTTTTCAATTCGGAATGCAGAGTCACGCTACATCATCCACACCGGTGGCATAGCTTTCGTGTTATTTGGAGATAACACACCGACTTCTTACTCTGGTGCTTTACTAAGCACCAGTCTTTGTAAAGCCGACGCCTCCAGGCAACTGGATTTTCGCAGCCTGCGTGCTGAGCACTACGCTCGGCTTCGTGGCCGTGCGGCTCGCCGTGAATACAATGAGCAGGCAGCCGCGTAGCCATCTCGCTCTCGCATGGTCTCGGTCTTTCCCTCTTGAGAGAGAGAGAGAGAGACAGAGAGTGAAAGAAAGAAAGAAAGAGAGACAGAGAGAGAGAGATGTGCAGCGAAGACCTGAACCCCTTCTGCAACATCTTACCTGCCTATATGCATGGTCTTTGAGTCATTTCGGCCTTGAAGCGGTTGCATGTTTCGATTCGGTGCTGGTGTGCTACCTTGTAATGGCTCTCCTGCACTATCCCCAAGGGTCCAGAGGATTTACAACTCTTAGGAACTTGGGTTTAGGGCAGCAGCTTGTAGTATGTTAAGTATTCGGGCGACTGTGTATGACTATTCAGCACTTCGACTCTGAGGGTATGATCAGGTTTGCCAGCGCTATCCTGGCAGGGGAAGGGCTGCAGAAATACAGAGCTTGGCTTTCTACACCTTCCCGAGTCGAAAGCACAGTTTTGTCCCTGCGGCCTGCGGCCCTCTAGTCTTACTCCAGCCACATGGATGTGTTTTGCTGAGGTCACTTCGCGGCAGCCAGCCAGCTGAACGCAGCGGATAAGATCAGATGCGAAGCGCAAAAGCGGATTAGCAAGCTTGCTCAGAGATGAGCGGGATCAGGGCAAGGCAGTATCGATTGTGGTGATGTCATGCCCAGCCAGGCCAGACTCTGAACCCACGGAGTGAGTAGTCACCGGAGGCCCTAAACGTTAAACTGAATGCATGTTTACGCTCTAGAGTATGTATTCGCACGCTTCGTTTACCTTCCGGTTTGGCTTTGGGTGAGTTTTGTTATCGAGGTCATGTCCGCTCGGATCCTGGTCGGACAGAGGATAATTCACCCTCCAGGCGGTTGTGCTCTTGTTTTATGGCTCCTCAAAGACGCGTCGTGCTTCGTCCATGAGCCCTGAGGCCAGCTGCATGCCACGTTCCCTTCAAGCCACGCGGTAAATATTCAAGTCTGCCATCCAAAGCCTCAACCCTTCAGCAATTGGCTGACCTCCAACCTTCCGACTCACTTTGAACTGAACCAAACCCCGAGATGGAGCGAATTGCTGTCTTTACGGCACCACAGCCTACACAAGTAAATCGCCTTGCTTGAGAAACCCTGTAAAGCCACTACAAAGCCTCGCAAGCCCCAAACCCGCGCAGGGCAACTTGAACCCGATAGCCATGATTGGCCGCAATCCCTAATCCCTTATAACGGCCAAAACAGCAGACTGGCAGTCCGAGTTGCGAATCAGCCCTACTTTGGTTGTCGCCCTGCCTACATGGCCGTTTGCTCGGCGGTGTCGTCATGGCAGCTGAATCTCGGTCTGATCTGCTGAGTTGCTGGGACTTTGGGGGTTGAGGGGTTTCGGTTTTTAGGTTTTGTGAGTTCAGGGATTTCCAGCTTATCCTCTCTTTTCGACTTTGATTCAGGGTCATGGGTTGCCCGGGCTCACACTAGAACAGTGTTGTTTGGCATTGTTTGGCAGGCATGCATCAGAAGAGCTGTGTTCGGTGTTCGCTTGAGGGGTGGAGTTGTGCCGCAGTGATTTCATGGATTCATGTTGGTTTCGTTGTCAAGAGCGGACCCGCCCTGAACACAGTGTGGGAAGATTTCCTGTTGGAAACTTATCCGTGTATTGTCCAGGCTCCGTGTTGCACGTGGCATTTACTTAATGCTGTTCAAGACATAGCAGAGACGAGTGCAAATCGTGAGCCATCGCGGCTCAACTTAAGGTTGTTTGAAGACCTCTGCGCAGTTGCATGGAATTCAGCTCCTGGCCGACAGTCGACAGCCTGTGAGTTGCCCCGCTATAGACATTCGTGGGCGCCATAAGTGGATGTTCCAGAGACGAGGCATTCCGTCTCATGGTTTTCATGGCGTGCACACCGCTCGCCGCAGGGCCTGGTACTGGTGGTGCCGCTCTTGTTTACTGGCTTGTGGCCTGGGCGTCTCTTTTGGGATGATGGCACCCCTTACACTTTTCCAAACTATGTTGCACAGGACGTCTCCACCTTTGACAAGCCTTGAGCTTCTCAAGAGGAAGCCCTATGGTCGGGGCTGCAGCATCAGCAGGAAAGCATTCAAGGCATCGTCCACAGATGTCTCGACCGACAATGCGCAACGCATCCTGCATGCAAGTCACGTCCGGATGCTCTTGCTGTTGTAAGTGTGAGTCGTATGCCTATGACACAACCGGGTGCGAGACGTATCGCTGAAACTTCAGCGCTTCGGCAGTATACAAACATAGTCGGTGAAGTGATTCAGCCGGCACATCCAAGGTAGAGACGAGGATTTCTTGGCTCGTGTAAGTGGCCTCGCCAAAGAGGCGCTGACGTGGCCACATCTCACGGAGGAGTTGATACTTGGATCTGAGCTTTAAAACGCCGCTTAATGCTCGCGGGGTAGATAAAGACTCCGCGGTCCTGCCGTCCACAAGCCCGTGATGCACGAACAGCTGATGCTAGGGCAAATGGAAAGGGGTTTGGACTAGAGCGGATTTGTTCTCTCGATTGCTTTTGTCGTGCTCATTTGCAAGCATCGAAGGAAGTTGATGTGGGCAGCGGCACTGAAGACTGACACTGTACCTCTTCAGGACCCTTATCCCTTGCAGCACTTAAGCTTTAGTCCGGTACAATGGTACGGATGGTGCTTCGGACTTGCCTACCTTTGTAATTCCGCTTGCGATTAAAGTGAACAGGAGTTGCCTCCCTGGTTCTGGGAGCGACAGAACCTCTCGCGCCGCAGCATGGGCCTGGACCTGAATTTCTAGGAATGTAGACTTTGCCAGCCGGGCGAATGGGGTCTGTTTTAGCAGTATGCCTCATAAAAGTTCTTCTTGACTGAGGTTGTACCGTGAAAGTACTTATGGGCTAATTACTTGTCGGTATGTAAGTACCTGTTGCAGAGCCAGCAGCCTCCCACGAAAGCCTAAAGCTGTTGCCTTGTGTGCTGCAGGTATTGACCTCATGAGCCTTGATGGACAGCATGCGGTGCTGTGCCGCAATTCGAACATCAATTGCTCTGTGCTTCACCGTGACATCAAGCGCTTTTTGCGCACCGCCCGATGGGTTTACAAGGCTTGGGAACTGGGCCCACTGCTTCGTGTTGAGAAAATGTACTGCATGGTGGTACTGTAGGGCCTATCCGGGGCTTGATACAGCGGAAGAGCTAGTGTGATGCAGGCAGAAGACATTCTCCTGCTCACCAACCGGGGCACGAATCTGCAGGCCGAATCCAAGCGGTGGCTCCGAAAATATGGTGCAAAGCACCGAACCATCAGCAAAGCCGAGATCCACAGGCTGTCCGCCGCAACTTCACAACCACACGGTGCCGTTCCCGAGGCAACCGGTCTGGTGAATGCGCAGCCTTTGTGGCCTTGCCAGCAGGCCTGACTTCAATTCAGTTGGTTTTAGCTGCAGCTCTTATCACATGCTCATAGACCTCAGTAGCTCCGGAAACGGCACTTTCACCATCCCTCCAACAGAAAAGTGTAGAACATATTTTTGCCGGACCCGCGTCAGGCTTGCCTGGACGCATGTGCAAAAGGAGCTCGGGTGATTGAGATGGCGTGCGGCACGGGAAAAACGCGAGTTATCCGGGAGCTGGCTCAGAACGTCTCCGGCAAGGCGGGGCGCAGGCTGAAGGGACAAGTCAGATGCTTGCACTGCCCGCAAGCATGACGCAGGCATGTTAAACCTGACACTGAGATGAGGTGTTGATCACAGTGCCTTCGCGCTTGTTGCTGGAGCAGTTTGCGGCAGATTTCCCCAGCTTCTGCAAGGTGGGGACGGGCTACAACAAGCACATCAACAGGTGTGCTTCTGGCTTCATCGCGGTGACGAACTCTGTAAATCTTCTCCAAGATTGTGGAACCAAAGTCGTATTCGTGGATGAGGCTCACCATCCGTTGCCTTCGGATCTGCCTGAATGTGAGGAGCTCTTCCTTTTCTCAGCAACTCATTCGATGAAGACAGACTATGAATATGGCATGGGACAAGCTATCCAGGAAAGGGTCCTGTGCGACTACGATCTCACAGTACCGATGATCACCGAGGGTCATCCATATTCGAGCCTTGCGAGGCTTCTGCAGTCGAGCCAGGGTCGCTTCAGGAGGGTGCTGGCATATTGCAACTCTGTGGCTGAAGCTCAGCGCGCACAGCAGATCTTCGCGACATTTGGCATAGCTGTCTGGCACATCAACTCAGAGACGAGTCGTCTCAAGAGGCAACGTGTCATTCAAGAGTTTTCGGGCGACTTGCAGCGACCCGTTCACGTCCTTGTGACAGTGCAGGTGCTGGGCGAAGGCGTGAACATCCCCAACGCAGATACCTGCATGTTCGTGCAGCCACGCAACAGCTACACCAGCATAGTTCAAGCAGTTGGGCGTATCTTGCGACTGCATGTTTGCAAACCCATGGCACATGTCATTCTTCCAGCAGTGTCATTGTTCTCCGTGGAACCTCCAGTTGCTTTGGAGTCGAACGGCATTCCGGTCAGTTGTGGAGGAGGTGGCTTGTCAAAACAGGATACTCTCCGGAGCGTCTCCAAGACTGAAACGCGAGCTGATCCTGAATTTGCTGCAGTGCGGTGTGAGAACCTCCAAGCGAGGGTTCGTGCCACAGAACCGACATCTGATATTCTCGGTCAGCCCAAGAAGCCGGGCAGCAGTGGTAGAACGGCAAGTGCAGAAGTCGTTGCCTTCCCTTGCGTAGCCGAGAGGCAGAGGCGAAGCTTTCGTCACGCAAGTGCTGCTTCAGAAAATGTAATTCTGGGCAACAGAGTTCGTCACGGCGCTGGTCCTGAAACCGCTCTCTCCAAACGCCAGAATTGCAGGCCGCCTGTGAAACAAGGCGTCAAAGCTGGCAACGTCATCAAGCGCAGGGTTCTCCAAAGTGAGGGGTTGAAGCTCTCTGGCGCCATGCGTATGCAGATGGATGACCCGTACGATTCACAGCTCGAGCGTTTTTTGTCCGTCATCGCTCATGCTGACAGCGGGCTTGCCAGTAGCTCCTTGCGCTTCCGTCTAAGCTTTGCAGACTGCAGAGCCTCGGCAAATTCCAACATCATGAGCATCACTCAGGAAGTCATGTGCAGACTAGAGACTCTGCTGAATAACCGGGGTCCCTGGGATGATCGCTTTGAAGAGTTGCAAAGCTTCGTTCAACGGTTTGGGCGAGTTCCAACGCACTCGGACAAGGAGCATAGGTCGCTGTTCTATTGGATTAAGAACACCGGGGCGAAATCGAAAGCGGGCAGGTTGCCAGCGCACAGGCTCCAAAAGTTTCTCGACTCGCCGTTCCTTGCCATACGCCAGCGAGCGGCTACCTGGCACGACCCCGCAATCAGTTTCAGGAGTTATTGCAAACGATTGCGGGACTATGTCTTGAAGTTCCAGGTCGTTCCAAGGACACCCTCGCTTCATGATGCTGAAGGCAAGACTTTGGCAGTGTGGCTGCAAGGTCAAAGGAGAACAGTGAGAACACTGCTCCACAGCAGCTTCAGTAAATCGCGGTCAGACGGAGCTTTCAAGAGAGATGCGCTCGCAGCTCTGCATCCCCTGGTTGCCGACTGTGTCGAATCATGGAACAAGCCCATAAGCTTGAGGTCTCGAAAAGAGTCAGAAAAACGATGGAGAGAAGTTCTCGCATTTGTCAGCCGGACAGACAGTCTTCCGAAGTCCAACCGTGGCACGCTGCAGAATCGTTTGTACCAGCGGTTGGTAAAGCTGAGACTTCGGTTGCCTTGGCTGCCAACAGAGGAGCAGCTCAAGATCTTGAGTTCTCACCGGCGCATTGCCGACTTCATGAACAAGCCTGTCTAGGACCATCACGCCCCACGCTTTTGCAGCTATGCTGGTCTTGGCCAGCAGGGACCTGGAGTGCATGGTCATGCTGTCCCAGTTCGGCCACACAGTCTCCCACAGCGGAAAATGAAGAGATTTGCAGACGACATTGCCAGTGCAGATGCAAGGGAAGTTGTTTCGTCCCCGTGTTTGACTGTCGAGGCCCTATAACGTAGGGATCTAGTTTGCGATACCTAGCCACGAGCTTCGCAGCTAAGCTTTGTGCGTACGTGAATTCTAGAAAGGCGTTTCATTCCCGGGGGCTCCCGTTTCCTAAATTCCAGGTTGCTGGGGTACACGATTTATAATTATGCTAGCTGTTAGCTACCTACTTTGTAGCTAATGGGAGCCCTGTGGCGATTGTCATCGGATGTGTGAGGGCTTTGGGTCTTATTGCTTCCTGCAAGTCTGCGATGTGCCAACATAGCGTCCGCGGCGCTATCAAAAGCCTTGAGCCCGAGTACCTCGGCATGTCAAAGAGTCTTTTGCAATTGTGCTTTAGGAACCGCAATCTTGGGATTTCTTCGTTATGGATGAGTTGCAGTAGCACAACCCGTACGATTTGTTTCCATAGCCGAAACCAGTGGATTCGTGCTGGTGTCGTTGGCTGGGGCTGCGGAACCCATGTCTTTACCGCAACAACCGTAAGCTCGAAAACCCCCAACCTAGAATCGGCTAACTATTAACTCCTGTACCGAAATCCCAACCCTGAAGCCTTCAGTTGGAAGCCAACAGTAAGCTTCGACCCCCTTCAAAACATGCAAAAGCACGAGTCAAGCCTTCAATCGAAGCCACGAAGCCCTTTAGCCCTTAGACCTGTAACCTTCAACCCAAACCTTGCCCTGGCACCTGTACCTTAAGCCAGTACAATGTAGTAAAGATCGCTGTAAGACTTTCTGAAATCCTCAGACCACCCAGAACAGCAGCTACCATAGAATCACACGTGCAGAAAATGGCAATACCAAGCCCTGTAAAATCAAAAGCTATTAGGTCAGGCTGTTAGTCTGCGCTAACAGCCTGACCAATGTGTCGGCCAGTGATTTGCCAGTAGCTTGTGGTTGCCGAGATCGTCGCCTGACTTGGTCGAGTGCGAGTGCCAAAAACTCAAAAGCCAAAGCCAGAACCATAGTCACAAACGCTGTCGTCAACAAGAAACCGTAAATGTCAAGAAAACCCACAAACAAACGTACAACCTGCAGCTTCGGGGACATCCCGCGAGAAGGCGCGGGCGCTTTCTGGAAGACGGGGAAGACCGTAGCCGCAGGGGAAGGGTTCCGGCTGAAGTTTGTAGTTTAGGTTTGGGGTCTGGAGTTTAACTACGGGCTTAGAGTTCGGGTTTAGGGTTTATGTTTGGGTTCAGTGTCTCAGCGTGTTTCGGGTCCAGGGTTTCGGCTTTACTGCGTTTCGGTTCTGTCTTTCCGACCCCTTGAAAACGTCCCACATGTCCCGCCAACAGAGCGTTAAGTCCCTCGGGTATCTTCAGAGTTCCGGCTTCCCTTTCGGAGCTTAGAGCCTTGAGGTCTTTGTTCTGCTTGGCACAGAAGCCCACAGAATGCAGGAAGTTCCGAAGCCTACATCCCGGTATGTTTGTGCTGGTGCTTAGTATTAGTCAGCAGCAGCAGCAGCAGTAGTAGTAGTCGTTAGTCGTTAGTCGTAGTCGGAGTCGGAGTCGTAGTCGGAGTCGTAGTCGTAGTCGTAGTCGTAGTCGTAGTAGTCGTCGTCGTCGTCGTGGTAGTGGCACTGGTAATGGTACTGGTGGTCGTGGTCGTGCTCTTGGCCTTGCAAGTGGAAGTGGAATTCGCCGTCGTAGTAGTATTGGTGGTAGTAGTAGCAGCAGCAACAGTAGCAGTAACAGTGGCAGTGGTTGTAGTTGTAGTGTTTGTTGTTTTTTGTGCTGTTACTGAGCTTGTTCTTGTTATTTGCCTTGATATTGTCCGTGCTAGTGTCATTGTTGCTGTTGTTGTTGTTGCTGCTGCTGTTGGTGGTGGTGGTGCTGGTGGTGCTGGTGCTGGCAGAAGTCGTTTCACTGGCAGAGCCAGACATGTCGCAACTATCAGCACCCTCAATAGCGACTTTCCGTGGATGTCGTAAGCCTACAACGAAAGGCTTTCTGCCTCCGAAGCGCCGTCACTGGATGAGTTGATGTTCCGGGCTCATGCGCTGCCTTTGCTCGGCGTTCCCGAGGTTTGGCCTGGCATGGCGGTCTTTCGGGTTTCGAGGATACATGTGATATGACGAAGTGCATAATTATCTACGGCCTTCCAATACCCCTTCATAGATTTTAGGAGTTTAGAGTTTTCCATGTTCCGTGCTCGGTGTACAAGGTTTCGGTCGTTCTTGCCAGGACTGCTGCAAATGTTGCACTGGCAAATCGTCACAATCAACAATCATGATTCAATGATGAAACCCAGAAGAACAGTAGTGATACCAGTACGGTTGCTACCTACAAGTGCGAGCACGGCTATAACACGGTGACGATGCCTTCGCCCTCCTTGCTGTTTCACCGTAATCCGAGCCTAATCCTAGGCTTATCCTAGATGAGTCCGAGGCTAATCCTGCACTAATCCTAGGCTAACCCTAGTAGAAGTAGAAGCAGATGTA